GGCGCCGCCGGCCCTCGGGGCGCTCCTCCCCCCCCCCCCCCCGCTATTAGGCGCTGACCACCCTCAGCTGCGGGGCATGAGGCTGATGAGGGAAACCTGTGAGGAGGAGGAGCAGGAGGAAAGAGCTGGGCTGAGGAGAAAAAGAAGGTCCTGGGGCTCCTCTGCTTGGGTTCGCCTCAAAGGGGTCCACGGGAGCCCCTAAAGTACCAAGTGTTGTGGTGGAACGAGCCCCCAGTGCTTGGGTTGGAGGCTGTGGCTGGAGTCTTGTGTGTGGTAGGAACCCCTCGTGCTGTGCCATGGAGAGCTGACGTGGAGCGTGGTGTCGAAGGTGGAGGAGAAGATCGCACCTGGGCCAGCCCTGACGTGAGGTAAGTGACACCGGCTCTCCCGCCGGGGGGACTCTTCCCTCCCTTTCCTCTCTCTGCTCCGTGTCCCTCCAAAGCCAACGCTCTCTGGTGTCTGCCTGTCTGGGAGCTGCAGTGCAGCACCCAAGGAGAGGGAGTTCCAGCTTCAGGTTTGGGTTTTTGTTCTGGGGACTGGCCCTCGCTGGGCTCTGGAGCTGAGGCACCTCTCCCCAGGGGCTGGGATCTCCCCTGAGGTGTCACCAGTGACTGGGGTGTCCAAGGGGGACACAGCTCTGCCCAGGAGCCTGCTCTGTAGAGATGCCCAATTTGGTGCTCTGTGAGGTCCCCCGACACTTTCAAATCCCTGAGTTTTGGATACTTCCCCCCCCCGCCCCCGCTTTCCATAGGAACAGAAAGCCTGTTTTCTGGTTTGCTCTTCCCCAGTGTCCTTTTCCCAGAATCAAGATGCACCTGTGTAAGGAAGTAGCACAACCCATGGGTTTCCCTTCGCCTCTTCCTTCTTGTTTCTTTAGGCCAATTAGACTGTTATTTTAGCTAGTTTATGCCTGTTGTTGAATTCCCTTTCCTTTACTGATACGTGCAAAGGCTGTGAAAGGCCCTTTGCTTTCCCAATACAAAGTGTGCCAGTGTGGCAGAACGAACCCCTTCATTTTTGCCTGCAGTTTTTTAGCTGAATTTACCTGGGTTAGAGGATGTTTGTGGTGCCCGTGGGCAGGTACTGACGGTGCTCGAGGCACGGGGGCAGCTGCTGGGAGAGGCTGGACTGGGAGCAGCCTGTCAGTGCTGCCGTGGGGTGCTGGGAAACACTCAGGGCTCGGTGTGGACAGAACAACTGCTGGCTTTGGTTTCACTTCCCCGGGAAGGCAGGAGGGGTCCCGACTCTGCGTCATTAAGTCTTGGCACATGAAAGGTAAAAAGCCTTTTTGGCATCACTTGCACCTGTGAAGAATGTGACCAGCCATAGCAGCGTGATAATGAATTGCACTGAGCGCAGAGTGATTTGTGTGCCATGGCAGCATGTCTGAGCCATAAATCTAGAGCCTGCATGTCTTGGCTTCTCCTGGCTCAGAGTGCTGCATGTCACAGATGCTTTTCTGCTCTGCTGGCCTGCAGAGGATCTGCTGCTGGGGGGACAAATGCTGCCTTTCTGAAAGGAGGCACTGTCCAGGGCTGCACAGTGGCTTCAAAGGGGAAGCAGTGGTGAAATATGGCAAAGATAAATGCAAGTTATGAAGCTGCTTTGCAAATCACTTCCTAGTTTCAAGGCCGATGGAACACCTGGGCATGCAGCACTGGGCTGCCAGGTGTGCTGCATTGCCAAAGGCTCAGGGTGCTTCCAAACAGCTCTTTTCTCTGAGAGATACTGGGTTAAAACACCCTGGGAAACCAAACCAAAGTGTGTTTGCAGCCTCCATCATGCAGGGTTCCAAAGCTGAGGTGTCTAACAAGCAGGTCAGCACTTCCTCAATGAAGGACTAAAGGGCAGATGTCATTGGGGAAGACACACTGGTTCTTCCGTCTTGCAAATGCCCTCTTTTTTAAATATCTACATGGTGATTCTTGCATGCTTTGCAGCGTAAATGAAGTCTTGAAATCAAAGCAAGCTGATCTTGGAGTCTAGAGAATTTTAGCCCCAAACCCCCCAGAGAACCAGCTTTGCTTCAAGATTGTGGCAGGTGCTTGTTTACAGATTGTCTGGGTTCATGTGACACCTGGGAACTTTTCCCTCTCATTTTAAATAGACTTCCATAGTTTCTGCACCTTCATTTGTAGGATGAAAATATCACATTTGTACATATAAAGAACAACTTGTTAGTATCTGCTGCAGGGCTTGGTCACTGAGACAGGCCAATTCTATGCAGCAGTTGGAGAATAAGCGGTGGTTGGAGATGGTATGGGAGAAAGTCCTACAGGAGCGTGGCATATCCCAGTCTTGCATAGTCACAGCTGTATGCTGTGTATGGGCTCAGGGGAGAACATTCAATGGACGCCTTGGTGGCAGCCTGATCTGGGATTTCTTGCATTACTTACAAATTGGAAAAGATATTTTTCATGGTCATTAATATGAGGCTACCTGGTCTTCTTCAGACCTCTCATTTCCCTTCAGGATTGAAGCATGCAGGGCATCCCAGAGAGAGTGCCAAGAAAAACTGTTGATTCCACATCATGGGTCATCTTGTCTGTCCTATTGTACATGGGAGAAGAACTATTTTAGAAATGTTTAGAAATGGCTTTTACTTGTTTTTGTATATTTGCATATGAAAACTGAGGCTCCCTCAGGCTCATAAGCCTGATTTTTAGAGGACTTTAATGGAGAACACATGGTCTAACTAACAGCTTTTGGTGAATGATTAGCTATCTTGGATAAGTTAGTAGGGTCTCAAAGCAGCAGGTTGCAGTGTTAAGTTTTGTTTTGAAGATAGTATATGCATACATACTGTATGTCTAGATAAAGGTATATGTTCCCTGGAAGGACAGGATAGAGCATTGTTGGAGGACATAAAGGATTTAAATGGTTTTAGTCCAAAAAAAAACCCCAAATCGCCCTCTTAAATCTAAAAGTAATTTTTTTTTCCTATTTCTTTACGTGTCTTGTGGTCTCCTTTGGCCCTGAATGTTTGTGACTATTGAGAACAGGATATGCTGGGAGGTATTTTTTATATTTCCACATGGAAGGATTAACCTGAAAAATAAGAAAGCAAAGTGCCAGGAATGCCCCCTGTGGAGACCTGCTGTTTGGGCAGCGGGCACTGCTCTGTGCTCCCCGGAGCAGCTGGTGAGCCCCTCTGACCCGTGCTGTCCCGGTGTCATTGATTCTGCGTGGAAACAGCTCTGCTCCGTCAGGGAGAGGCTGCTCCAGGGCCCTTACCGTACGGAGACGGAATGTGCCTGTGCTCGGGAGAGGGCAGCAAATAGCTTTTAATCTCCTGTTTGTTTTTACTTGCAAAATTAACGTGAGATGTGGGCCCGGGAGAGGGTGACGGTGAGCGTGATGTGTGTCTGCCCAGAGAGACTGACAATGATGCTCCAAACTTAGTTACCCAAACAGCCGACATTGCTTTGTGAACCTCTAACTACTGGTTTAAACAGTCTTTTTCTTGTTGGTGTTCCAAAACATCAGACTGAAACTGGGGTGGGGGGAATGGGGGGAGAGGAGGTGGGTATCCTATTGCTATGGCCGTGATGGAAATAGACTAAACGCCACAGAAAAACACCACTGAGGAGCTTTGGAGGGCTGAAATCCCCCCCTTGGCAGAGGGGTGTGGGGAAACTTGCCCATCGTCACTGAGTGGTGGGAGCAGTGGGTTTCCACTGGCATGGCTGTTGAAGATGGGAAGGTGCCTAGAGGATGGGTGGGAGGTAGGGTGCTATGAGAACGGCCCAGGGCAAGACAGGACAGAGGTGCAGAACAGTTCAGAGTTATTTGGGTTGGTTCTGTGCATCCACAGGATGGAAAATAGAGAGGCCGAAGAGGCAAAAGCACCCAGGGAACTTAAATGCCCCTGCTCTGGGCGGGAGCTGTGGGGAGCTGAAGTCTAGACTGAAGTACTGTGAAACACTGGCAAGTCCTGTAACAAATCACAGCCCCTAACTCTGTTGTCTCTTGTGGGATAAGGCAAGGGCTGTGCCTGTGTTTGGGGAGCTTTTTCCACCAGGGGCTTTTACCTCCGGCTTTCTCAAGCTCACCGAGAGATGGTGTGGGTGCCCACACTTGCTCTGCATCTCCATTACCTGATCTTTCAACACAGTGCAACCGAGCTAATTTTTTTCCCAGGGTGAGACTTTAATTCCCTCCCATTGATCATGGCCAAAGAAGAGAGCTCAAATGGAGATTTTATTCCAGAAACAATGGCCCCCTTATGTGCTGTGTCGTGCTCTCTGTGAATGAACCTGCTGGTGAAATGAAGGCTTTTCCTCAGGCTGTTTTTTACCTTTCTCAGGTGAATCTTCATATTAGATCAGTCGCCTGGATTCCTGCAGGGAGAGGGAAGGGAGGTAAAGCATGAAATCTTTGTTCCACGGGGACATGACACAAAATGACAGTCAGTGGGACGTGGGATCCATATTTAGTTCCCACAAATCCCCATGTGCTGCAGCAAGATTGTCCTCATTAAAACCTGTGAAGCAAAGGGCAGTTTCCCTGTGCTCTGGACATGTTTTTCTGCCTCATAACACTTCTCTTCAGGTCTGGTCCAAAGCCTCCACCCTGGGCTGGCTCTTCATT